CCAACTTCACATCATTTAGGCAATTCCCTGGCCAAATATCAAATCATTTTATGTTACTGTGGCAAGCTGAGACTGATTTAGCAACACAAATAAACTATAACTAAATGAACACTGCGGTAAATAAGGTTCTTAAAGGTGCAATATGTGACTTTAGAGGGTCCGCCACCTGGTTTCATTGCTTTGCCAAGAAAGTTTCACAGTATGGCATTAAGTCTATCTCTATGAAACCAATCAGGTGGCACAATCAGGCCAGAGGCAACACTGCAAAAAATAAAATCGAGTGAAGTTAAGATGACTTGAATTAAGAAAGTTTTATCATGATTTGAGTCAGTTTCACTCACCCTACACTTAAAATAAGAAAAACAGCAACTTTTTGCACTTAAATTCAATGTTGCTTAAAATGAGAAAAACACACTTATACCATTGGTAGTTCATTTTACTCGTCAAGTTGAATCTACTCAAATAAAGTAAAATGTTTAACTTACCGTGATATTGTTTTTTTCCCCTCATGGTAGGGGCCTGTTTACACCAGAACACTTGCAGGTAAAAACGACAAAATATTTTATGAGAAGTGCCTTTTGTTTAGATGGTGATGGTGTTTTTGGGGCTTAAAAACGCAAAAAATCTGAAACCACCCTCCAGATTGTAAAAGTTTAATTTGCTCCGAAGTAGCGTTTCCATCTACACTGCCCAAAACTCTGGTCAGATCTGCTCACGTCGTGTATGTGTTTACATCACATACATACAGTTCACAGAAACAAACATGATCATTTCCATGCATTGGACCTTCAATCTGCTGTGGCAGCTCTAATAAAGTTACAGGAGACATCCCAACAAGTGTGCAGAATATGCAGAGATATTATCAGTGAACAGAGAAGGATCTGCAATCACCTCTGTCAAATTCTGGATGCACCAGTTCGTCGCAGGTGAGCCAGACGACTATGGACGAGACCTGGGAGAACCAGTTGATGGGGGGACAATTTTGTGGAAGGAGTAGCTAAAGAAAATTTGTGGCGTGAAAACTTCCGTATGTCCAAAGATGCCCTTGTTTTTTTAAGTACATGCATAACCAATTAAATTCCACACACTTTTGCATCACTGTATGCACGCACATTTCCTCCTGAAAACGCTCGTCTAAATGTGGAACAAAAAGTGAAAACGTGACGCGTTTTTGCGTTTTCTGTTCATACCATCATCATATAAACTTAGCCTTATTTTCAATGAATTTTTGAGCAATGAAAACACTACATGACTGCTAGATATGTTTAATGCCATATTCTGGAACATTCTTTAAGCAATAATATCTCCATGCTGACAAGTGATGGACCCTACCATAAAAGTTACGTTTAATATCTCTGGATCTGAACTGATTTCACACACAGAACCTCACTGTGTAACTCTATAACACCGATGAACTCTGTGCTGGTAAGAGACTTAACGTAGAGCGGTGACGTTACCCCTGCGCCAGTGGGACGTACGCCAGCGGTGCTCGCACTATCCCATTGAACTACCGCTCTGTTTCTGTGATTCTCTTTCTATGGGTCGACTTATTGGGAATTTTTAGAAAGCCACAGCATTCCTCGGACAAAGGCTGTGTCTGTATAGCACAAACAGATGCTGGACTTGGCTGTGTTTGGAATTTATAGCTGCTTATTGATACGCTGGTCTTCTAAATGTCGTATAAATATAAATTGGTGTAACATTCATAAATATACATTGTGTTAATAGCTGGTGTATAGCTTTGCCTGGTCGAACGATCTCATCTTTTCGCTGATTTCTCCGTCTCTCTCTCTGTTCTCATACTTCTCCCTTGGCTGCCCCTGTGAGTAAATAGCAATGCCAAACATCTTTTGCTGCACATAATATATCATGAACCATAGACAGGGGAAAGTTGAAACTAATATATTTGACAGAAAGAAATGCCAAAATGTGTGTGTGTTTTTTCCAATTTTCCAGGCCATGATTAAACAACTGATTATTTTTGTCGTTTAAATATAGGGTGATGTTTAAAGCGGTAAGATAAGACACAACTGAATCAAAACCGCAAGTTGAATAGTCAGAATTGGTAAATCATAAGAACTGCTGTAATCATTTAGCCAACATCATTTACTTTGCAATCTTGGAATTATCATGTCGTATTATGTGGGGGGAAAAAATGTAGTAACAAGATTTAAAAATGTACCCAATATTCTTTTATTTCATTGTGTTATGATTATCGTAACTCTGTCTTCATCTGTTTTAATAAGACTGCTCTTAACAGACTCCAAACTGTACAAAACTCTGCTGCCAGGCTTTTTATCGGAACCTGCAGAATGTCACAAAACACTCCAGTTCTATCATCCCTACTTTGACTTCCTATAAAGTTCAAGATTTATTTTAAAATTTTAGTTGTTACTTTTAGAGCTGTCCACGGGCATCCCCTCAAGTTCATCCTGGACCTTTAAGCCCTTACTTCTCTGGACACACCCTTCTCTTCTCGCCTGCTCTCTGTAAAGCAGTTTGTGATTTTAATCTGTGAAAAGTGCTTCAAAAATTAAGTTTACTCACTTATTTACTTGTATCAGTTTATTAATTCAGTTGTTGTTTCTCAGATGTGAATGCTCCTAGCCTAATTCATCAGCCGGTTTCACTTCATGGAAACCATCTGACCTCTCATTATTAGGATTTGTTTACTCAACGGTAGGCAGGTATGTTTTTAATTTAACCAATCGCTGCTATTTGGTCGTGACGTATGTAATGCGCCGCTAATGAGCAAATCCTGTAGGAAGAAGGCCAATAACATCTTTCCTCTTGATAAAATTCACCAAACATTCTCTTAATGAATTTAAGTCCTTGATCTCGGGAATCGTTACCAACACAGAATGTATGGCTCTTCGCTGATTGGCTGGTGCCGGGACTCAGACTTCCAGGGTTTTTGTATGTGTATTCCGATTCCTGACCTAGTTGCTGGAGAGAAATGAAATTGAGCAGAGGCACTAGGTGGCACCAGTCTGGCTAGAATGCTCCTTGATGTGTTAAACATGTAAACTTTGAACATAATCCTCATAACATAAATTGAGAATCAAATCATCAGTGCAGTGCTTATCAGCCACAGTGCTGCTATTTTAATCATTCACATACATAATATAAAATTAGCCAAATGTTATTAGTGACAATATGTTGCTGTTGCATAATGGGTATTTTGGCCCCTTCAGATTCCACTGGGAGCTCTAATGTGTAGTAAAGTCATTTAGTGAAGACGGTGCGCTGCTGTGTAAGCTGCCAGGACATGAATATTCTAATAATGACTAATCACCTCAAGTTTTCCCAAATGAGTGTTAATATTCTTTTTATGGATCCTATGTCTAAACGAACCACCACCAATGACAGAGAATCACATCTGTTTTGTTCACTCATTTACAAATTTATCTATCTATATTTATCTGGTGATTCTAGGTTTCCATGGTTTTAGGAGAATGAAGAGCTGCGGTTTCTTACGAAGCCAGACTTAAGTGAGCCTGTCTTCAACATTAATCCTGTCACCACCACACTCACAAATGTTCCATGTCCTGGTGATTTTAGGCCAGAACATGTAATTATCCAGAGCAGGGACCCTGTCATTTGCCAAAACTGTCACGGCACAGACAGGGAGGTCTTCTGACTTCTGTCACTTGGGGGTAAAATAACTAGTTTAGATTTGGGCTGTTTAGAAATATTCTCTATCAGGTATTGTTTATCAACCAATAGAGACGCCCCTTTATATGTTATTAAAACATAAATTCATTTAAATGTAATTTTGTGGTTCTTCTTAAGGCAAGACACAGGGAACATTTTTTAAAGGTTTTGCAGAGATCATTGTGCAGTGATCATTTTGCAGTGATCAGTCTAGAGGAGATAAAGGCATGGGTCAGTTTTTCAGCATCAGGTTGGGCAAGGGAGGGACTTCTTTCAAACTTTCATCTGGAACAACTGAATCAGTTCATAGATTTATTTAAGTTAGCTTAAATTTCCCTAGTCACCAGCAGTGTCTTGCCTCTGGTTTTCACTGCGTGCTAACTGCGGCAGAAAGAGCTTTGGCGTTTACCATAAATTCACCAGAGCTTTTGGCACTCAAACTCTGGAACTCCGTGCAAAGGGTTTAAGTAAAGTGAATGAATAGAGCCGCTCTTGTTGATTTTCCAGATGTGTGACATCACCCTGACGTTGTTCCATAAAAGAACTCTCTGATTTCAGGCTTGACAGATGGGTCTGAACAGAATGATCAATACGCACGAAGGGTCCTCTATCCATTGTGCAGGGAGTCTTTTTCTTCTTTGATTCAATTTGCATATCTTATTTAATCTAGGGCAGTTTATATATTATAGATCTACACTAAGCATATTACCTTCTCAGAATTACTTTCTGCAAATGAGCTGTGGAATTCACTTTCTAATTAAAAACAGTCTGATTAGGGTGACTGGTTAAAGCTCAGAGTGAGAGCGTTCAGCTGTGTGAGCACAAAAAAAAGACCTACTTCACTTCAGTCTCCACGCACTTCCACATCATGACTTGAACTGTTGTTGGTGCGAGGAAGTGGCCCCATCATCGGCTCCTTGCATCATGTAGTGTGATTTATCCCGGAGTGGCCAGTAAGAGGCAGGGCGCATGCGCAGAGAATCTCGTACAAACCACATGCGTTCGTGGACCACAACAGCTTTAAGTTGAGAGAGTGGGGACCACACAGAACGGAAGTTAGTCAGATTAGACAATAAATAGCCTATAGACAAGCTCAATTTTAAAGTAATAGTTTTTGGATAAGGCGTATTAAACTTACAGGGCTAGGATTTTTCTCGGAGTCTGCATTCAACTACATTTTATCTTTGTGAAAATAGCCACAGAGGATGGGCCCAATATTTGAGCTTGTCTTATTTTGTAAGTCAAACCGGATGTGCTTTGTCGTGCTTACGTACACCTGACGTCGCTTCAAATCACGACGTTCATTCCCCGAGCAGCGGCGGAGCGTCAGAGCTGATGATCTGCTGCTTGCGTGAGGAAGCGGCGGTCGGCGTGCGTCTCGCTGTCACACATCCAGCGAACGAACCGGCGTGTGGACGAGACTCGCCCGAGTGCGTCCTGCCCCCTGCACAGAGCGGCTTCTCCTCTCCCCGCAACATGGGTTAGAAATGCGAGCACGCTCCACGGATTATCCACTTTGTGCACTCCAGCGAGGAGGATGATGGGGGACTTGTTTTCGCGGACACATCCTGACAAAGACGGCCACTGAAAGGGAACGCTGCTCGGGCTTTTTTTTCTTTAATTTAACGCTAGTTTTGTTTTTACTCGGGAGTTTTCCAGTTTCTAGAGATGTACGCGGAATTGGTGTGCAGCGCCGTGGCTCTGCTCCTGTATGTCAACACACTGGGCGCTGATTTCTGCTACGATGACAGGTACGTACTGGGATGAATGAGCGACATACCCATTCACATTCACGTCTCGAGTGGGCAGCGTGGCTCCAGAACCGCCTATAAATCCGTGGGTCCAAGCGTGAATAATAACAGAGATCGTTACGCGCTTCATTCATTCAAGTGCAATAATGTGGATTGTACAGAAAGCATGCATACCCTTTTTTCTGGGCTGTATTTCTTTCTTGGTCTAAGCAAAATTGTTGTGAGGAACATAATGTACAGGCATATTGTAAATTTATCAAGTAGTCTTAGATATATAAACTACAATTTGTTGAATTTTAATGTTTTTGTAGCATAATTTAAAAGGTTATTGTGGCATTCTTTTATTACTTGATATAGCTGATATGATTTTAGTCTGATGTCATCTTTCCAGTTTTCATATTCACTTGTAAATAAGATTCAGTGCTTGGATCTTTCAGTTTTACAGAGTTTTCCAAGTGTGAATTCTCATAAAGTTTTGGAATAAAGTAGCTGATCTCTGGAGAAGAACATTAAAGCGCTGTGTGTGTGGAGTGGACTCTTGTGAAAAGGCCTCCGTCTGTTCTGTTCAGTAATGTGGAACTTTGAAAACTTTTCCTCTCTTTCAAAAATAGCTCCTGACACTTCGGAGATTGTGTTGGAGAACAGTGGTGCGCTCGTTTGCTCAGAGGTGGCTGGAGAATCGTGGATGGAGCAGCGGTCATTGCCTCCAGCTCCTGTACTGTTTGTTCAGACAGGGCAGTGCTTCACCCGTCTGCTGCCATATAGATCATTAATGTAAGGCTGATGTAGCTGAAGGAGTGACCTAGTATTTGGACATGGCTCAGCGTGCAGTCACCCTGTTAACTCTGTATCACTGTTTACACTGGGCTGGGCAGTGGTTTTCTTATCGCATTTTTGCTTTAATACAAATATAAAAGGCTTCCTCTAAACCCTGAACTCTGCTTTAAACTAAGACTGTGCAATGAACTGAATTTTGATCACGATTTTGATTTGTGTGTCAAACGATCTCCAAACTCTTATAATTGAGTTGAAACGATAAAGCTTAACAAAGTGTACTTTGCGATATAGAGATTGTAGAACAGCTGGATATATAGTTTAATTTGGATTTACGTTTTTCTATGCCTTATGTCATGTTCAAAGTACATTTTATTCATTTTATACGTCGCAAAACTGCTCTAAGGTTCATATTTGTAGCCTATATTTATTTTCAATTTGATAGTTTTGCGTAAATCATCAATAACAAAGTGGGTTTTTTGAGAGAGAAATGTTCATGTAACAAAAAAATAATCATTTGAATAATCGTGATTTCAATATTGACCAAAATAATCCTGATAATGATTTTTTTCCATAATCGAGCAACACTACTCTAAACCACATGCGTTTACTGCCACAATGGCTGTTAATAATCATAATAATACATTTTATTTATATATATATTTTCAGGACACTCAACGATCCTTTACAGAATCAATATTAAAAGAGTAAAAACAGTTAAAATTGAGTAAAAAAAAAAACAAATAAATAATACAGTGAAGATAAAAAACAGTTGACATCTCTGTTAAAATGGCTCTCTGCCGTATCATTTATTATTAAAACTGACAGCATTTCCATCTCGATGTATTGCACAAAAGCACAAAACATTCCTGTATTTTTATTTATAACATAAATGTCACTATATATTTTCTTTACAGCAATCATTACTTCACAGGCGGATGTCAGTTTTCTCCGTCGTAAAGGCGTAGGCAAAGTCAGAAATAGGGCTGTCACAATAAATACCGTATCAACTTATCGCTCAATACAGAACAGATGGAGCAATCATTTTTGAGGGTCAGTATTTATCGTGGGGACTTTTTCTTTGCACAAGTGGGAAGAGTTTTGTTGAGTGTTGAGTGATGTATTGTGATGAACTTCTGTGACTCATTATAGACGCAAACTAACTTCTTAAGTGTTGCGTTGTGTTATTTATTTATTGCAGCTCATATTTTTTAACAATATTGTAAATTTAGAACAATTTATGGTTTGGTTTCAATATCGTCTGTATTTACTTCAGCATTATATGACACCGGTCTCTTGCTATTTTTGCTTCTTATTTTTTAGAATTTATGATTGCATTTATATTTTTACTCTTTGTTATTATAATATATTGTGTCGTGTGAGCTACTGTGTCCAAATAATTTCCCTTGTGGCTCAATAATGTTTGTCTAAGTCTAATATTACACTTCAAAATTTGTTATCGTCAAAGAAATAGTCAGAAACAAGTTTCTTTTAATGTTACCTTAGTTTTTTTGGCTTCCCTCTCGTAACTCAACAACAAATTCACACATCGTGGTTGCCTAGTTCCTTTCGACTATGTATACAACACTTCCTTCTCCTCTTGCTTCCTGAGCTCTGATGCTTTTATTGAGCTGGATGGTTGCCCTGCTGTAGCTCCTTGAATCTGTTCCTCCCAAACATGGTGGGGTTTGTCCATAAAGCTGTCAGGGAGGAGAGACAGCTCAGCCAACAGAGGATCTCAGTTCCAGTGAAAGATACTATGCCAAACAATTGTTAACACGTAATTTATCACTTTAAGAGCAAGCCTGCACACGCTCGTGACATCTTCAGGATCCAAACATGATTTTGGTAATTGCCCCCAGTTTGTCATTCAGCCTTATCTCTCTTTACCACTGCATGTTTGGTGCAGGCTTGTAATTAGCGGCTGTCTCCTGTCCCCCAGGGCTTCACCCGGGGAGAGGAACGAGAGAAATGTATAATTTGGAAAAGTTGCGAGAGTATGGACTCATTTAACTTGCTAATGCCGTGGCAGTGTGTGCAGTGTTAACGCTAATGGGACAGGGTTGTGGGGAAGTTTCTGCCAAGATGAAAAAAGTAATTGCGTGAATGCATCATCGTGAGACTAGCAAGGATTTTAGTTTATCAGTGGATCTGACCTTTTCTCACCACAAACAGTGTACCAATGGTCCCCCTGAGAACAAATAGTCATTTTTGGGAGTAATAAACGCACATATCTTACCATTTATTGTTGATGAATGCCTGTATAAATTGAGAATTCTGTTAGGAAGCACACTTGACTGAAAATCTTGACTGAAATGAAGCAATATTGCAGTGAGTGTGCACCATTACTGAAATAGGCAAAGAACATTACCTTCTATGTAGCAAATGTGTGTCTAACCTTCAGGCTTATCATCTCCGTTAGTTAAACAGTGACCTTCTCTGTTTACATTCATATCAAACGAGTCTGTCCTGTGTCCACAAAGATAAAACGCCAGTGTTTATTGTGAAAATGTTATCCCCAAGCCTGTAAAAAGCACTGTACTAAACACTGTTACAGCTCAGAGTCCGTCTCTGCCCCTCCCTTCATAAAGACCCCTCACATGTTAAAGCAGCTGTATGGCCCTGGGGAGAGTTTCCTTTGCTCCCCTGGTCGCACTCATCATCAGAGCACACACAGCTCTGACACCTGCGCTGGAGAATGGGATCATGCTTCATATATTTCATATCTCTGCTCTGGTCTAATGCACAGTTAGAGCCTATGGAAGCACAGAGAGAAATGTCTGATAAGAAATACACTCCAATAAACTCTGAGTGGCCAGGAGCTTTGGAGAGACGTGTGAAGTAGGTGTGTGCTAGGGCTGGCTAGGTGTAAAAAGTGCTGTTCAGAGTCCACATTGGAAACAACTACAGGAGCATTAACATTTGAAAAACTGAAATGTAGTGACTTAGACTTAGACAAACTTTATTGATCCACAAGGGAAATTATTTGGATGCTTCCCTTGTATTTCCCTTAATACAAGAATCTATTTCCAGACTAAACAACAAATACAGCAAGATTTTTCAATAAAAAGACAATAAAACAATATATTTTCTTCTCTGCAAAGGACATTGTATTATCTCGTTTGTGATCTGATAATAGCTCCAACTTAAATTGTGATTTTGATTGATTATTCAGTATGACAGTGTACAGTATGATATTTCAGTATGACAATGGCCAAATTTTAACATACTCCAAACCTGAAGAAGATTGTTTTCAAAGTAAAGTTTTGGTACAATAACTTCATTTTTGATTGGTGCTGTTTTAAAAAATAATGCTTAGTGATTTTCCCATATATTGTGTTGTCTATGTATCTGTTTCTTTCTGTTTTTGTTGACTTTTATGGGTCATTCCACGCCAAATCTCCAAATGCCCCCGCTCGACCATCTCAGATTTGACTGAAAAAATTCTAGGAGGTTCACAAACTTAGGAAAGTCCCAAATTTTCGCTCTCAGCTCCTTATAGATTTGTCATAAAAAATATTTTGTCAACTACCCCCTGACCTTCTTTGAGCAGTTTTCCGAGGAGCCACTTTCAGATTGCTGTATCTAAAAAACTATTTAAGGTAGGTCTTTCAAATTTTCAAGGGTTAAAATTTGGCAAATGTACTTTTAGAATATGGACTTTTACACATGCTTTTGGTTTATCACGGATCTTTGGCGTGGAATGACCTTTATGTGAAGCACTTTGGTCAGCTGAAGTTGTTTTAAATGTGCTATATAAGTAGCGAAAAGAATTCAACTGAATTATCAAAAATACTTTCAGACACCATTATTCCAATATACAGAATGTAACTTACCACGTCTGTCAACAGCTATGAGATTTTCCAGTTGAAAACAAGACAGTCCTGTAGCCAAGCCCATGTCAGCTCCACCTTCTTCACCGGTTTAGTGGATTATTGTTCCTTGTCAGAGTGTGATGAATGGGAAGCACAGGTCCCACATCATTTCTCAGGCCTCGTGAGTGTGAGCTGCAGTTGGAGGTGAGGAGTGTGAAGGAGCAGATCTGGCTGAAGGACAGGGCTCTCCTCTGGCACTGGTGCATGATTTATGATGCTCAGACAGTGGGACTACTGCATGCCACGAAAGCTTTATTAGCTACAGTCGGTTGTGGTCATGGAAACGGAGCTGAACGCCGTGTGGTGATGTGGCCTGGTGTTGGACTCAGTGTGATGAAGGCAAAGAAGCCA